CCCCATTCACTCTGACCATGGCAGGCTCCAAACGCAGAGAAAGAAATTGGAGCCTGGGCAGTCCTTAATGCTGCCCACCCGTGGGCTCTGCGTCCCACACCGCGACCCAGCACCAGATGTCCTGCTACCTCTGACAGCCTGAGTCTCTAGAAGTAGCATCAGCGGCACTTGTTTGGCACAGCAGTGGGACAGGCAGCTCCAAGGCAGGCCAGAGAGGAGTGTCCAAGGTGAGGGATGGTGGAGCAGAACCCCACCTCCTTCCAGCTTCCTGGGGGAGCCCTCTGAGGGCTGGAGTCTCCTGTCCTGGCCACAGTCACCCCTCCACACACGTCCACCCCTTCACTGAACTGTTCTTCCTCACCCTTCACTCCAGCCACCTACGAGCCTTCCAGAGTGCACCCAAACAGGGACTCGGGGGCAGGGCCAACAGGAGAAGAGGGGCCTTCTGCCCTTGAATGGCTCTCAGTCTAGTTGGAGAAATGAAGTTCTCGGGTAGGAAGACACTCTGCGCTCGGGTCTTCCTGTCTCTCCCCCCTCCATCCTCATGCCCCTCCCAGGGCCCTGGCTCAGCCCCCTCCCCAGCATGTCCTGGGTTTTATCTAAGGGCCCCCCACAGATCTGTGTTCACCATCAGACATCAAAGCCTCCCACCCCACAGGTAGAAGGGGCTCCTTTTCTTCCTGAAGGATTTTTGCTTTGTCCACATTAAGGCTCATTTGTTATCTCCTGCCTTGCCTTCAGTCTAGCAAAACAGTCCACGATGTAGCCTTATTATCTGTTCACTCCTTGGAACAGCTGAGTCATCTGAAGGCCTCAGCCTGGGACTGCCCCTCTTCAGCTTGTTCAGAGCCCAGTCCACGCAGGGATCGGTTTGTTCACAGTTTCCAACCAAGACCTGCCAAGAACCCTGTTGATATCTTTCTCAAGGCCAGGCCTTTGTGTCTGAGGGACAAGATGGTCCCTGCAATTCCTGGCTGATTCATTCTCTCCCTCCCAGCCATTGGAGAAGGACAGCTCCGTGGGCAGTGCACAGGGGGCTAGCTGCTCGGCCAGCACCCAGATGAACAAGAGAAACACCTTTATTGTCCTGTGGCTGAACTGAAGCAAGGCCAGCTCTTCCTACAGAAACTAAGTTCAACTGACCCCTTGGGCTGTTCAAGATAGAAAGCCTACCACGTCCAGTGTTCATTCTCACCCAGAGGAATTCTTCCACCATCCCTCCTCCCCCAGGGCCTACTGCTAAAGTGCCATGTAGGAAATGTCCTGTTGGCAGTGGGGTAGGATAGGCAGTTTCCATCCTAGTCTGGCTTCCTTCCCGATAGAGTTTTGAACTGGCTCTTCCTGGTTCAGTCATGGCTATGAAGTGAAACCTGAATGGACCCGAATTTGTAAAATGTGGATGTACCTGAATGATAAGAAACAAACACAAAAAACCTCTCACTGCCATTGAGTTGGTTCCAACTCATAGTGACCCCTACTGGGTTTCCAAGGCTGTGAATCTTTTACAGAATCAGACTGCCTCATCTTTCTGCCACAGAAAATGTATAGAGTTGTTAAATTCCCCTCACTAACTTCCTCTTCGGAAGAAAGATGAAATACAACAAGGGGATGGCTTTAACAGAAATTTATTTCCTCACCATGTAGGAGGTTAGAAGTCTGAGTTTAGGGCACAAGTTCAAGGGGAAGGCTTTCTTTCTCTGTTGGCTCTGGAGGAAGGTCCTTCTTTGTTTCTTCAGCTTCTCCTTCCGGTTTCTTGGAGATCTCCATGTGTCTTGGCATCTGTTTTACCAATCTCTCCTCTAATCTCTTTTTATATCTCAAAAGAGATTGATTCAAGATACCCCTACACTAATCCTGCCTCATCAGCATAACAAAGATGACCCCATCCTAAATGGGATTATAACCACAGGCATAGAGGTTAGGATTTACAACACATACTTCTCAGGGATATAATCCAACCCATAACATGCCACCCTTGGGCCCCCCAAAATTCATGTCTTGCCACATGCAAAACATATTCACCCCATGACATCATCCCAAAAGTTATAAATGAAGTCCAAAATATCATTTTCTGAATCATCTAAATAAAATATGGGTGAGACTTCAGTGTATTTCATCCTGGGTCAAAATTCCTCTTCATCTGTGAACCTGTGAAATCTAGAATACAAGTTATCTATTTCCAAATTATAATGGTGGAGCCAGTCCAAGGGAGACATTTCCAAAACAAATGAATTGGAGGGTACAAAGGGGTAATGGGAACCGAGCAAGTCCAAAACCCAGCAGAACAATTGACATTAGTTCTCAAGCCTCGAAAACAATCTTCTGTTCTCTGAAACCGTCTGGGCAATGGCCCTGCCCTCCAGACTCTGGATGTTGGCCACATTCTCTGGATTCTCAGTGACGACGCCTTAGCCTGAGCTTCACCTCTCCTTCCAGGCCCACTACAGTGGCAACTCTGCTCCCTTAGCTTAGCGTGGCTCTGTTCTCCTAGTCCATTGGAGTGGTGACTGTACCCCCTCAGCCCCGACAGGCCCCATTCGTCATCCCCTTGGGCATGACAACCCCTCTGCTTGGATGGCAGCTCCATCCCCTTGGCACACCTCAATGATAGGCCCATGCTCCAGAACTGAGTTAATGAAGATTTGATTCTTTAAAACCTAGGAGGCTGCGGCCCAACCCTTTGAGATCCAACAGTTCATGACCCCACCCTTTGAAACCAAGAAGAACGTGCTTCTGTGCTCCTTCCAACAGTTCTGCTGATCTCCAATCTATTCCAGGGATGGTCATCTTCTTTCCTTGAAGGAAAACAGATGTAACTCTTTTGTCCTGTTACCTGCTTATAGAATTCCAAGAGGCCAACAGGGTTCCTTCCTTTCTGTTCTTTCTCTGTCCCCTGCAGTCTAAGCTGATGGGTTTCCTGTTGCAGTAATTGGTTAGATGTATCAGTCACAGGCTTAATCTCCTTAACAAAAGATTATATAACCATGTCCTTGCTGAACATCCTAGGATACAGGTTCTCAGTTTGTACAACGGAAATTTCCAAATCTGTCTTTAAGTTCTGTTCTTATTTTGCACAGTTCTTTTTTAAATCCATCTATTTCCTTGCACATTTTACTATAAGTGGCAAGAAGAAACCACATGGCCCCTTTAAGATCTTGCTTAGAAACCTCATCAGCCAGATATCCAAATTTATCACTTACAAGTTCTACCTTCTACCAAACATTTGAACATAATTTAGACAAGTTCTTTGCCACTGCATAACAAGCATCACCCTTCCTCCACTGTCCAATCACATGTTCATCATTTTCTTTTAAAACTTCACCAGAAACACATCGAATGTCCACGTTTCTCGTGACAATCTGTTGCTGGCACCATATGTATTCTCTAAGACAATACAGACTTTGTCTATAGCTCTCCTCATTTCCTCTGAGCCCTCACCAGAATTGTCTTTGACATCCATAAATTCTGCCAACACTCTCTTCAAGGAAATCTAGGCTTTTACTGCTGGGTGTCTTAAAACTCTTCCAGTGTCTACCCATTACCCAATTCCAAATCTGCTTCCACATTTTAGGTGTCTGATAGAATAGCACCCTACTCCCAGCACCAAATTCTGTCTTAGTTCTCTAGCGCAGCTAAAACAGAAATACCACAAGTGCACACCTTTAGCAAACAGAACTTTATTTTCTTACTGTTTAGAAGGCTGAATTCAGGGTGCCAAATCAAAGGAAAATTTTTCTTTGTTGGCTCTGCAGGAAAGTTCTCATCTCTTCAGCTTCTACTTCCGGGTTCCTTGGAGATCTCCATGTATCGTGGCGTCTGTTTCATCCTCTCTCTCTATCTCTCTGATTGCTCATTTAATCTCTTTTTATTCTCAAAAGAGATTGACTCAAGATACACCCTACACTAATCCTGCCTCATTAACATAACAAAGAGAACAGATTTTCAGATGAGACTACATCCACAGGCATAGAGGCTAGGATTCACAATGAAGATTTCTACCAAAAAAAACCTAAAGTCACTGCCGTGGAGTAGGATCCGACTTATGGTGACCCCTTCTTGGGTTTCCGAGGTGGTATCACTATGGAAGTAGATTGCCCAAACTTCCTTCCGAGGAGTGGCTGGTGGGTGAATATTTCTGGGAGACGTAATTCAGTCCACAACAGTTGGCCATGACTGAACTGTTTCAAACTGGTTCGAAGCCCTGCTTCCCAAAGGTATACCCTGTTTCCTGGTAGTTCTCAGGTGTCACCAACCTCTTTCTCCTGTCCTCATTGCTTCCACAAAGTAGCCACAGTTTTGCCATGAACTGGTCCACAACAGCCCCCTCAGTCCTTCCATATCCTTTCTGTGGGCACAGGAAGATTTGGCTGACCAGCCATGCCTTTCTGAGGCCCACAGGCAACTTGGGGCTTTCCATGTGCCCTCTCACTGCCCTTAAAATCCCCACTTGCTGTCATCTCTGTGAGGTTGTTGGCCAACAAAGTTCCAGAAGTGACAGGAAAGTACAAATCTTCAGTCTGGGGTCCCCAAACTAAAAAGGAGGCTTGATCCTTCCCCCTCCATCTCTGCCTAGGATACACTCACCATGACTAACTCTCTTGATTTCCTCTCCTAACTCCTTGCTCCCTCTCTTTTCCTCTACAGAATTTTATAGTCCAATAGAAAAGCAAGGTAGAATTGAAAAACAGCCTTGTTCAGATAGTCATCTCATTCTCTTTCCCAATTCTTCTGCCGTATAGCTTTGAGTCTTAAAAATCAAGAATTTGTCTGGTTCTCAGGTTCTTCAGAAATCCTTTAAACACTAGGTGTTTCAAGTCAAGCTGTCTGGATTTGGGAGAAAGGTCATTGGGGGTACAGTGAGCTAAGATAGCGTCCATTCAGCATTGAAAGAGGAAGCATACCAGTGATTAGTGCTCTACGTATCATCCCACCACATCAGAAACTTTGGAACAGGACACCTGCTACTGGAATTCCTTCCTCTGAGCAGGGTTTCTCTTCCCTCACTCTCTGGTGGTCATGGTGTCCTGGAGAACCAGCTGGGCCCTGGAAGGTCGATGTGCCTTGATGTCCATGCGGAATTCTTTGATGACAAAGTAGTAGCAGAAAACATCCAGGCAGCAGTTGATGTTGGAGAAGCACAGGGACAATTGCAAGAAGAAGCTGATGTTCTGCTTAGCTCCGCACTCCAGGATAAAGCCATTCCTCACCATGAACTGCAGGAAGAAACCCAAGTGCACTGGTAGAAAGGAGACCACAAAGACAGCCAGACTGGCCGCTATCGTGCAGATGCTAGCCTTGTGCTGGACCCAGTCCTGGGTGTAGTGCCCACGGCCAAGGAGAATGCGTATGCTCTTGAAGGAACAGAAACCAATGATGGCCAAAGGAAGAAGAAACCCAAACACCTCACAGGGAAAGAAGACCTCTGCACTCCAGGTGCCGTTGGACATGTTGTGGAAGCATTTGTACTCTCCGCTCGTATCATGAAAGTTGTAGACAGGGGTACTCCCGGCCCACACCAGGACCCAGATGGCGCAACAGGTCATGAAGATCTTCCTGGGCGAGCGGTGGTGGCTGACCAGGAGTGGGTACTGGATGGCCAAGAAGCGGTCCACGCTGATGAAGCAGATGGTAAAGATGCTTCCGTACATGCTGATGAAGTAGAGGCACTCCGCCATGGTGCAGAAGGCACTCAAGGGAGCCTGCACGTGGGGCAGCACCATCTTGAGTGGGAGGGAGAGAACCTGCAGCAGGTCGAAGATTGCCAGGTTGATCATGTAGATGCAAGTGGCAGCGTAATCCGGCCACCTCTTCTTCAGGACCATGCTGAAGCCTCGGATGGCCAGCAGGTTGAGGATTAAGCCCAGGATGAAGGTGGGGACATGGACGGCCAGCTGCAGGACTTTCATTAACTTATCCACATCATGGAAGGAGCAGTTCAGTGGGCTCATGTTCTTCCCTACAACACCAATAAGAAATTCGATGAATCCTTTCACCTTCCTGAAATGATGGGCTCAAATGTCTTTTGTCAAAAACAGGAAGCACTTCCCTATCACACCACAGTTGGTGCTCCCGGAGTAGCAATTAGAGAGCAATGAAAAGAAAGAAGATTGAAATGACTTCTAATCCTGCTCCCCAGACGTAAGCCCCTGCTGCCTTGTGTGTACCACTGCAGGCGGTGGCCAGATCACAAACGAGCTCCACTCTCAAGTCTGTCTTGAGGTTGAATTTGTACATAATCAGAATAGTTTGGTATGGTTTGTATCTAATGTCCACTTAGTCAAATGTTTGTCTTAGCATATAATATATAGTGGACTTTTCTATGCACAGAAAACATTAAAGGAATACCTCCAGGTGCACTAAAGCATCTTTAACATGATAATACAGTAATAATAATAATAATATTTGGTGCATGTTGCAAAGTTGCTTTCATTTGTTATTAGGAACCATTCATTGTATGTACCTTGAATATTTAATATAATAAGTGTTCAAGTGATAGTTCATAACCACAGGGTTGTCCGTAAATTGGATGTTGGTAACTCGGAGACTACCTGCACAGAATTTACACACACACACGCACGCACGCACGCACATACATCTTTTTCTTTTCCAAAAATGGAACCATACTATGCATGAACATTCCTTCCTTTTTTTATTTTTTCAATTAGAACTCCTTCTGCTGAAAGGAGTAATAACACAAACCAGGACCCCAAAACGAAGAGAGAATGTCGCATACTTGGAAATATGACAGCTGGGATAGGAACGACTTCAGATGCAGCTTGGTCAGAGATTCTACTGCTGTGACCAAGACCCAGCCCCTCCTTCAATGTTCTCTCTCATCCAGGTAGGTGGCTAGGGTTGACCCCAGCCCTGACCCTAGGTCATCAAAAATCAGCATATCAAGCTCACCTGGACACTGTGATTAACTCAGGGGTGGGTACTGGGCTACCCAGGGGCAATGGAAAAGCTACAGACCCTTGCTTATGTTGCTGGGCAGGAAGTTGTGGACTGTTTTCTGGGGGATTTGAACTTGAGGAGATTTAAAGTCTTGAGCTGCCTTAGCTTCTTGCTATCCTGAAGAGAAAACCAGAAGGAGAGTGGAGATACATAGAAGAGAGGACATTCCAAGAGGGAGCAAGTGGGGGCCCGAAGTCTCTACAGGGCAAAGAAGGACCCCGGGACAACAGGCTGTAGGAAGGTAGCAGGGATATTGGTGTGCTGGCAGACGAGGGGGCTGGTCACAGTCGGGGCTCTGAGCAGGCCAAAGTGTAGGGTCAATGTCGGGTAAGTCACACCCATTTCTTACTAAGGGCCTGGCCAACTGGGGGGTCATGCTATTGTTGGGTCTCTCTATCAAGGTAGGTGTCTCTAGAGCAGGTCAAAACCAGGGGATATTCACCCTGGGTCTCCAGATTCAGTGCTGCTAGAAAGAATTCAGACCTCACTCCAGCAAAGCTAATACACCTCGGGTCAGAGGGTCGCTCTAAGCTCTATTCTGTGACACAAACACTTGCTCATGATGACTCTTCTAAATGACCAAACTTCCACCCCATTAGTCCACCCCAGCAGACCTCCTCTGTCCCACCCACTCCTCCCCTCCCCAAGTGAGGCTAAGCTGCTGATGTGATTGGTCCTAGACACCAAATGGCCCGTGTTCACTAGTGGGCAGAGTCCGTGCATTTAAGAGATTGTGTGCACTCACGCTCAGCCTGCCCCGTAACCGCTGCCTCTGTGTAGGCAGCAGGGGAGCAACTTTACCCACTGCCTGCCCTGCAGAGCCAGCCTGGCTACCTCTCCCAGCCTCCATGACTACCTGCTCGCAGGGGCTTCCGGCCCAAATGGAGATGGGCCAGGGGCTGTCCAACGTCACCTTTGCCAGAGAATCCTGCACTGGTACCAAAGCAGCTTGTTTTTTTCATAAGTTAAGCTACTCTGATTGACACAGTGGCTGCAACGATGGGCTCAGGTATAACAAGGATCGTGAGGCCGGCAGAGGACCGGGTAGTGTTTCATTCTGTTGTACATGGGGCCGCTATGAGTCAGAGCCGACTGGACGGCACCTAACAACAACAACGACACTATGATAGCTTTTTTGTTTTAAACTGAAAAAATGTTAAGTATACTTAATAAGGTTGCCAAACAGCACAAAACAATGGAAAGAGGAAAGGGACTCCATTGTGCCCCAGGGCCTCAGTCGTCCTTTCCAGAGAAATCCATGGGAGAGAAAGTTTCTTGCATAATTTTTCTAGGAAATTTCCCAGTAGTGTGTATACACACATATATACACATAAACACATGTGTGTACACATCACTCAGCTGACTCACTGCTGTTGAGTCAGTTCTGACTCAGCGACCCCTCCTTGGATTTCCGAGGCAGTATCTGTACGGAAGTAGATTGCCCAGTCTTCCTTCCGAAGAGTGGCTGGTGGGTTTGAACCACCAGCCTTCTGGTTAGCAGTCAAATGCCTTAGGTGCTACACCACCAGAAATACGTGTACATTTATGTGTATATATACATGTAAATATATACATACATAAATACAATCACACACACACACACATACATATATATAATGACTCAGCTGTAAAATTGTCAGATCTGTCCCGTGTTTATTAACTCAGTTATTCCATATCAGCATACATAAATCTACTTTATTCTTTGTAATGGTGTCACTGCGTTCTATTGTGCTATACCACAATTCCTTTAGCCTATTGATAGACACTTAGGTGTCCAAGTGTTTTACTAGGAAACAAAAGTGCCACGGTCAATACCCCGTGACTTATTTCACTCTACACAGCTATCTCTAAGGGAATTCCCATTCTGTCATTTCTTGTCACGGCAGCTCCCTTAGGAGCCTGTGCGAAGAAAGGATTGGGGCATTTTTAAGACCCTATATGCAATTCAAAGAGCCCTGGGGGCACTTACTTCTGGCTGCTAACCCAAAGGTCAGCAGTTAGAACCCGCCAGCCACTCCTTGGAGAAAGATGAGGCGGTCTGCTTCTGTAAAGATCTACAGCCTAGGAAACCCCACGGCGCAGTTCTACTCTGTCCTCTGGGGGCGCTGTGAGTCAGAATCGACTCCATGGCAGAGGGTTTATATGCAGTACCATCGAACAGTACCCCAACTCTCTCTAACCTGTAACAAAAAAGGAGAAAAAAGATAGACAGACAGACGGATAGATACACAGATAGACAGGTAACATCATTCAGCACTAGGTACTAACTGTTTGACAAACATCATTTAATTTGGTGACTTTTCAAAGCAAATATTCAATGCCTTCCTGTATGTTAGTTGTTTTTTTTTTTTAAATATATTTTATTGAAATATAATTTATGTACAGCAAAATACACAAAACTAAAGTGACATGGGTCAATGCATTTTTTTTTTGCAGTGTTTCCTTCCCTCCCCCCTCCCCCTGGCAACCAACAAAGAAATTTGCTTCCATAGATAAACCTTTCCTTGACCCTCCACAACAAAGAACTAATACTATATTTGTCCTTCTGTGATTGACTCATTTCACTCAGCATAATGTCCTCCAAGTTCATCAATGTTATGCTGTATTTTGCAGACGCTACATTATTCTTTACTGCTGCACAGCATTCCAGTATGTGTATGTACCATAGTTTGATCATCCACTCTTCCATTGATGGGCACATAGGTTGTTTCCATCTTTTTGCTATTGTAAATAGTGCTGTGATGAACATGAGCATGCATGTATCTGTCCCTATCCTGGCTCTCACCTCTCTAAAATATATACCTAGTAATGGAATTGCTGGGTCAGATGGTATCTCCAATTCCAGCTTTCTAAGAAATTGCCATACTGCTTTCCACAGTGGTTGTATCACTTCATAGTCCCACCAGCACTATATGAGAGTCCCAATCTCTCCACATCCCCACTAGCATTTGTTATTTTCTGTCTCATTGAACCTTGCCATCAGTGCTGGGGTGAGACGGTATCTCATTGTTGTTTTGATTTGCAACTCTCTGATGGCCAATGATCGTGAGCATCTTTTCATGTATTAGCTGACCACCTGAATATTCTTGGTGAAGTGTCTATTCATGTCTTCTGCCCATTTTTCAATTGGATTGTTAACTCCTTTGCTGTTGAGGCATTGGAGTTTTCAATAAATCTTAGAGATAAGTCCCTTGCCAGATATGTAATTATCAGCAAGTATGAATTTGTTGCTGTCATTTTTCTTATGTGTTTTTTCGTGGTGTCGATTTCTTTGTTCCATAAAATTTTCTGTGCTGAGCTCTTTTTATGAATCGTGTTATCACTTCCTTCATTGCTATTGTTTTAGTATTTGTAAGTATTTGTGCTGGTCCTCTTTTTTATTTTGATGTGAAGATTTATCATTTTTCTTTAAGGTTACCCTGTGATGTATAGTTTTCTTCCCAAGTTTAGAACAGTCCGTTCTATCTTGTAGTTGTCTTGACTTCCCTACCATCTAGAAGTTCTGTAACGACAGTTTTTTCCTCTTTTTGGTTTGTAGTTGTCCTCATTTGTCAGTTGATGTCTCTGGTTCCCTGTTTACAATCTTGTTGGCTTACTTACTTTGGATACTTCCAAAGCTGGGTGTATGTTAGTTTTTTGTATGTGTTTGTCTCAAGAGATCTGGGAAAATGTATTTCCTCATGCTTGAACTTTAGGCTCTTGTGGTCTGTGTGACCACACCCCAGAGTGGGAACCTTCTGAGAGGTTTGTTCAGGAAGCAGGCCCTAAGGTGTCCGTGCTTCCATTTCAGGACGCCTAGAATAAGCACATGCTGGCCAGCCACCTCTTCCAGCTGAAAGACTCCAAAATAGTCTCAGGCCTTCAAAAAGGAGCTCAAATAACTGCAGTCAGTAAGATAAATTTCAAAAACAGTGCAAAAACCCACTCCAGGTCTAACTGTGAAGGACTGCAACACTAAAGAGGAAGCATCAATTGGCCCAGAGATGCCTGCGTC